TTTTGTTTAGTTATGTAAATAAATTTAACACGACTTGTACTGTTTGTCTGAGTGAAAGGCGAGATGCGGGTTTTCCCTTTCTTTATTTACACTTTCAAATATAACCGCTTAACAAAAATGCACGGGCTCACTGGCTTACAACCTTGGCGAATTCATATGCAGGCCTGGTCGCAAATCAATCACCCAGTTAATAATGTTAGGATTATAGATCACTTCGACAATCCATGTTGAGTGGGTAGTGATTTTCAGTCCCGACTGGATAGAGTAACGGCTCAATAAACTCTAATACTCTAATAAACTCTAACAATTTTTTTTGGGGGGGGGAGGGCTGAGTGCCACTGGTTTTAAGGGGGGAGGCTATAAACAACATTGAAATTGGATCCGCCCTTGAAAATCTTATTCCATTGTCTTTTGCTGGTWACTGACATACTAGCAATGAATCTAAGTACTAGGTAACGTACAAAATAAATAAAAAAATAAATCAGCAATGATCGATGATCCTATAAGTTAGTAGGCCAGTTTGATATAATTGAAATGGGCATCGCGGATCAAATTTTTTCCAGATTGCTGTTCATATAAACTATAAAAACAAAAACGTTACGTTAACCATGCATATTTGGACGTCAAACACACGTTAAAAAGGCTATTCTACAAGCTTTTCATTTTGATTTAGTTTAAAACGCATTAAAATTAAGATATAAGAATAAGGATTTTTTTCTTTTTTCTTTGTTTTTCAATTTTCATTGCATATTTAATTTAACCCCGACACCTTTTTTTTCGTCTTAATATATTTATTAGTACATTACTACTTTAATTAGTACATTACTACTAGATAATAATTACTAAATATTATAAGTTACTATTTACAATTGAAGAGAGCTTTGCCATAAGCGAAGCCCACAAGATGTTGACCCCGACACCTATAGTAATGAGTTGCGGGCCTGGTATCCGCAAAAAAGAAAGAACTGGACACTTGTTAGTTGTGCAACACTCACGTTTATTTTGACTTCAGCGACTCGCCTTATCAGTCTTGTTATGAAGTTTTGTATGACTCCAAAATGACAAGTTGAATTGAAATTGTCAACAATATACTGTCGTTTCTATTCGTTAATACTGAGCATGTCAAAACCATGCCCTGTCTGATACTAATGTGATAACTTTTTTCAGTGTCGTTTGATCTTCCCAAAACGTACGAAAGTACTATTTTACTGCTTGGGCTTGAAGCGAATGTAAAACTCTATGCGCACAATCTTATTCCAAACCGGAAAATAAATAAAGACACTTCTTTATATAAGATGTCATTTTATACACGTTTTATTTGCGCAAACTGACTTTTAATTTGTTCCACACACAAAAATATATGTACATACAATAATCGATACATGACGTACCTGCCTCCTAAATRCATGTCTACAACCAACATTACTTGAACAGTCTCCGTCACAGTCTCCATCTTGAAAGGTAGCCGAGCCTTTGCATCAAAGCGAGACCACTGGTGACCCCATTATAACTGCCAAACAAAACGCMCGTCTTTGTTTTTACGAACATGACTGTAATTTCACCACATATCTGTGAATTGTCTGCTTTCGAATCACGACTTGTGTTTTAGAAATTACCCTAGAGAGAA